TGAAATTCTTCTGTGTCTTCCAATTCCTTTCGATACAGTGACTCAGTATATTCTTTCCATCTTCTTTTAATACTTCCTGGATCATTTAACATTCACCATATAGATTAAAAAAGTATGGAGACAGAATGCATTCCTGACACATTCCTTTTCACATTTTGAACCATGCAGTGTTTCCCTGCTCTATTCTGAGGACTGCTTCCTGGTTTAAGTATAGGTTTTGCATAAGCACAATCAACAAAGAGAATAATTATGCTTTGAGGTAAATAAGAGCAGGACAGTTCTAAAAGAGTGTTATTAAACATCCCTCCCAGGGAGAAAAGAAATGGTGAAGCAGGAAGACATGATTTTATCTCACAACCAAGAAAGAGACTTCTAAAGATTCAAAAGTAGTAATTTCTACTAGAATTTCAACTACATCTTTTTTTTTTTCAAGAGTTTAACATACTTTATTTATGTTTTAAGGAATTTGTTCATCCAATCTCTTAAATTTATTTATAATACTGTACTGTTTTATTCTTTCAATGTTTATAGAATCCATAGTAGTTATATTTTTCCTGGGATATAATTTAGGTTTTTTTAGTCTTGCTAGAGATTTACTAATTTGAATTTTAACTTTTCTTTAGTTTGAATAAAAGTTACAAATCAATTTTTTATTTAATCATTCATATGCCTTTTATTCTGTAACATTAATTTCATTACCTAAAAATTATGGAAAACATCAATTTGCATGTCATCCTTGTACAGAAGCCATGCTAATCTTCTTTGCATTACTCCAATTTCAGTATATATGATGCTGAAGGAACTAAAGAACAAATTCAAGCCACAAGTTGCAATGCTTAAGGATGCTATGGCAGAATACTGAATGATTCAGGAAGCATTAAAAGAAGATGAAAGGAGTATATAGAGACACTGTGCCAAAAAAATTGGATAACATAGAAGAATTTCAGTTAACAATATACGATCAAGAGGAAATGGTGATGAAGGAAGAAATTCAGGTTGCTCTAAAGGACTTGGTAAAAAAGCCCCATGAATTAATGGAATACCAACTGATATTGATATAGTTCAAGAAACAGATACTGCCCTGGACGTGATCACCAGGTTATGCCAAGAAAACGGAAGACAACTACATGGCCAACTGACTGGAAGAGATACATAGTTATTCTTATTCCAAAAAAAGGTGACCCAAGAGAACGTGGGAATTATCAAACAATATCACTAATATCACACACTAGCAAAATCCTGCTGAAGATCATCCAGAAACGACTGGAACAGTACATTGACAGAGAACTACTAGAAATACAAGCTGGGTTTAGAAGAGGTGTGGCACTAGAAACATTACTGCCAGTGTCAGATGGATACTGGAAGAAAGCAGAGTATCAGAGGAATATGAATCTGTGTTTCAGTGATTATGCAAAGGCAGTTGACTGTGTAGATCACAAAAAATTGTGGCTAATCTTGAGAAAAATGGGAATCTGAGAACATTTGACTGGATTTATGTGAAACCTATACTCACACCAGGACCAGTCCTCAGAACAAAGCAGGGAAATAACGTATGGTTTAAAATGTGAAAAGGAATGCGTCAGAGATGCATCCTGTCTCCATACTTTTCCAATCTATATGCTGAAAACATTATTCGGAAGGCTGGGCTTTCACCACTGGGCTAACTGTCAACACCATGATAGAAGAAGACATTGAGGTTGTTAACAATCACAGCTTTCTTGGTTCTAGAATCAACACTCTTGGCAACAACAGTTATGAAATCAGTTGGGAAAATTTGCTGTCAGGGACCTCTCTAAAGTAATGAAAAGCAACGATGTCAGTCTAGAGACTTAAGTGCACCTAATCCAGATCATGGTCTTCGCAATTACTTGCTGTGCATCAAAGAGCTGAAAAATGACTAAAGATGACAGAAAAGAATCGATGTCTTTGAGTTGTGGTGCTGGAGAAGAGTCTTGAACATACCATGGACTGCCAAGAAAACAAATAGGTCTTGGAGAGAGTGAAATCAAGTTTCTCCTTGGAGGCTAGGATTTTGAAGTTCGGTCTCACATACCCAGATGAGATGGATTGATATAGTAATTGGGGCAGTGGAAATTGGTGTGTTTGAATTAGTGAGACTGGCTCAGGACAGGGCTGGCTTCAGAGGTGCTGTTGCTATGCATTGTAGGCAACTTGTTGACACATACAACATGATGCTGAAGACAGTACTTAATTGTAAGTTGAAAAGAACTGTTGGCTTTGAAAATTTTTCTACTGTTTGTCCAATGCTATTTCATGGTGTTCTGCTTTTATAATTACTATTTCCATCCTTTAACTTTGCTCTTCTCTTTACTGATTTTAAATCTTCTTTTATAATATAAATTTTTAAAGCTATGAATTTTCCTCTAAGCATGCCTTAGCTATATCCACAAATTCTGAGTCATACTCAACCTGATGGCACCTAACAACAAAAAATTTTGATGTTATATTTCATTATCATTCAGTTGAAACCATTTTTTATTTCCCCGGTAATTTCTTCTTTGATTCAGAAAACAAAAAAAATATGCAAACTCACTGCACTGAGTTAGACCTGATTCAAAGCTGATCCTCCAGTGAGTTTTCAGAGAGTATAATTTCATGGGAGAAGACTGCCCATCTTGCTCCTGCAGAGTCATAGGTATAGTTGAACCACCAGAGAGTTTAGTAGTATAGCTTCTTTGGACTATGCCAGTAGAGCTCCCTTCTGATCCAGAAAAGAACTGTTTAACTTCCAAATTTTTAGATATCTTTTTCATTGATCCTCTAGCAAGCATGACTGTAGTATTCTATAAATGTGTACTGGTCAAGTCAGAACCAACCCATAATTGTCCCTCTAGCGGATTTCCAGAGACAGTTAATCCATGGGAGGAAACTGTCTGTCTCCTGCAAAGCAGCTAGTGGATTTGAACCAGCTTTGGATTGCCAATGCAACTCCTTACCACTAGGCAATGAGAGCTTCCTAGTATTTTATAAATTTTAATCAGGTCAAATTGGTTCACAGTGTTTTTCAAATAGTTAATCTATAGCATGTGCGCGCATGCATGTGTGTGTTTAATTAATTATTGAGAAGGTCTGTCAGTTTTTGCTTTGTGCAGTTTGAAGCCTCAATTATATAGTCTATAAAGAAAAAAATAATACTGTGGTACAGTGCCAAAAAACCTCACATGGAATCAGGAATTAAAAAGCCTAAATACTTCTTTGGCATTTTTAATTGACAACTGAAAGGTAGAACTAACTGGATTTTTTTTCAAATGTTGTGTGAACTATCAGGTGCTATACTAGTTGAATCATTAATATCATAAGTGTAATTAGCATTATTCAGGGGAGAAACAATTATGAGATTATTGAAATCAGACCCCAGACCGAAGATAATGTGCCTAAGGTAAAAACTTGGAGGTTCTGGGCATTGCAAAGAAAAGATTCAGGGGAAAATAAAAATCTAAAGATATTTAAGAATAATAACAAGTGATGATATTGAATTAATCTCTAGAGATGTAGGCAAAATTAGGATCTAACCACAAGATAATAGAATGTTTACACTCACCGACCAGAGAAATTTAATTCCATAGCAGAATATACATAAATAAAAAGTGAATCTCCACCTGAATGGGAGAAAGAGTAGATATTAGATAAATCGTCACTTAAAGTTCTGGAAGCTAGGGAAGTCAGGATAGCAGATTTAGGGGCAAGATAAGTTACTGGAAGGAAACTGTATAAGTTCCCAGAATACTGTTACAAGAAAGCCAAAGACAGAGTCATATGCTATCATCTCTTTAAGATACTTTGCCACAGCTATATCCTGGCTTTAATCATACACTTGTCCAACTTTTGATCAGATTTACTGATGATAGTGTTCTAATCTCTTTCTCTGCAGGGCAATGGCCAATATAGTGCTATGTTTCTAGAGCATAATTAGTAAAAAGTAATGAAATAATGTGCTTCTTTGAAAAGGGATGTTCCTCATCAAACTGCCAAGTGTACAAAAGTGTACACTTACATAAAGGCAATTACAGGAACTCTCTCCCAATCAATTTGGGAAAAGGTGACAATAGAATTAGCTTAGTGGCAAGCATGTCCAAGAAACTGAGGATGACTAGTCTTCCAGGTCTCTTCCTATAATAGATTGAGTTAACCCTCCATATCTAGTGAGTTATTTTAATAAGAGAAGTGATTTCTAAAAAATTCAGTCCAGTCATATACCCACCCTCCTCCTTATTCCCACATCCCTCTGTACACCTACATGCTTTCACAGAATTTAGTGAGCGTTGGGGGCTTGTCCTGATTCCTCCGATGTCGAAACCAGCATTGGATTTTTCGGATATCCCAATCCAGTTGCTTTGACAGGCCCTCCAGCCTTTTGTCATCAGGATACTGCAGATGTATGGCCAGAGTCAGGACATTCCTTCTCCCCTTAAGACTTTCATTAAATCACCCTGACTAGCTGACTTGCAAGGAGGCTTTAACCCTATAACCATAGTGCATTAAGTGATGTTATGTTGCCAGGTTTCATTTTAATAATTTTTTTAACAAAAGGTTTTACTTCACTGATTGAGGACCTTTACTGATCAACTATCCACTTCCTTGTCTGATTTTTCTTTCTAGCTCAAACTGAGTAAAAATCAATACTGAAAACCAAAGGTACAAGGATTATCAATCATTCTCAAACAACTAGATGATTATAGAAAATGGAGTAAAGGGGGTAAAAAAATCAAGAAATGTGTTTTGTAAGATGGGGTGGTAGTGGTGGCTACTGTGCCTAAAACTTAAAGGTATGTGAAGTGGACTTATTTATGGATGCTGGCCCAAAGGTATTTCCCTGATGGGAGAAAGTTGTCCTTATGGCTGTTTGAAGTACCCTATTTTATTCTTATCCTTAAAAGTAGTTATTCTCCATCTTCCCCTGCCATATGAAGCAATTCATGCAAATTTTCCTGTTTCCTTGTTAACTTACCTTGGTAACAGATATGAACACCTTTTCAAGAATGGCATTATATCGAGCAGGATAAGGACCAATGTCCTGAATGCCAACATGGAGAGCACAGGGTTTGGCAATAAACCTGCAAGGAAGAAAATTCAAAGGTCAATTTTAAATATAATTTGCTAAGCATGCAGGAAAGACCTTAATTAGGAAAATGAAAGCAGGAAAAAGGGAACATTGGTCTGGAATCCAAAACTTTGTTTCTGCCGTTGACTTACTTGATAACTGACCTGTTTAAGACATGTGGAAACATAAACTCTCTATTTTCTCTGTCTTCTCTGTCACATCTTGAGTTTTATTTAGAATTAGAAAGCTCCAAATCGAAATCTACATCATTATTATCTAAATCAGTTAATAAATGTATGGATATGGTCAAGTTATTCAATCTCTCTGAGCTTTAGTTTTTCCTGTCTATGAGAAAAAAGATATCAGCATCCATGCTACTCAATATATGGTGTGTGGACCAAGAGTACCATTAGCATTTCCTAGAAGCTTATTTGAAATGCAGAATTTTGACTTATGGACTCAGAACTTGCATTTTAACAAGATTTCTGGATGATTCATACAGCTTAAAATGTGAGAAAACACTTGTCTACAGCTGGCAAAATCTTGTTATTGTTAGGTGCTACTGATTCATTTCCAACTCAGTGACTCTATGTATAACAGAAAGAAACAGTGCCCGGTCCTGCCCATCCTCACTGATGTGCTTGAGCCCACTCTTGTCACCACTGGCTCAATCTGATTTGATATATCTTGTCTTTTATTGATCTTCTGCTTTACCAAGCATCATATCTTTTCCTAGGTATTGGCCTCTTCTGATAACATGCTGGAAGTATCAGAGATGATTTCTTTGCTTCTTAGGAACATTCTGGCTATACTTCTTCTAAGACAGATTTATTTTTGTCCTTTTGGCAGTCCATAGTATATTCAATATTTTTTGCCAACACCACAACTGAACAGTTGAAAGTATTCAGTTAGATGATTACACACACACACACACACACACAAGTATGGCAGATACATAACAAAAAGTCATTTTCCTTACTTTAGAAGATCCAGGTCTTATTGGAAAAGTAGATCTAAGAATATTTCCTAAGTACAGATATCCTAGATCATGACTATTTTCCTGCCTAATCAAAGAATTATATAAATATCATGGCACTTTCAGTAGTCCTGACAAAAGAAATCAGGAAGCCAGGCGGGGTGAGAAAATAATTTCCAAGATTTTTTTCCCCTTACAAGCTAAGATTTTACGGAAAATTGATGCTTTTGAAATTGTGGTGTTGGAGAAGAGTACTGAATATCCCATGGACTGCCAAAAGAACAAACAAGTCTGTCTTGGGGCAAGTGCAAACAAAGTGATCCTTAGAGGAAAGAACTGTGAAACTTTGTCTCATATTCATTGGGTATGCTGTCAGGAGGGGCCAGTCCTTGGAACTGGAAAAAGACATGATAGTGGGAAAGGTAGAGGGCCAGAGAACAATGACAACCCTGAATTAGATGTATTGACACAGTGACTGTAACAATGGGCTTGAACATAATGAAGATCATGAAGGTGGTGTAGGACAGGGCAAGGTTCAGATCTGTTGTTTATAGGGTCACTATGAACTGTAGTCAACTTGATGGCACCAAACAACAAGAAGATTTTACGATAGTTATTGATTGTAATTAATTTCTAACTTTTGGATCTTTAAAAGAATTATTCCTTGGTTCTTCATGAAAGATTGCAACTCTTCTTAACTGGAGAATGAAAAAAATGTTTAAAAATTTTTATTTTAATTTTTTTTAAGCACCAGTTTCAAGAAAAGCTCCTTAAGTCAATACCAGTTTTAGCCCTTTCAGCATTTAGCATCTCCTGGAGTCTCATGATGAAAGTATGAATAGGAGGTGTAAGATGGAATGCTCTGACCTATTTCCTTGTTCTGTGTTTGAAACTAGAATTTATTATCTGTAAGGGAGGAACTAAGAATAAGAAATTTTATTTTCTTCCTCTATAAAAACTTTTACTCTTATCACCGCAGTTCCTAAGGGAACATTTATTCAGATGACAAAGTTAGCTAAATTTGTAAACTATTCTCTGCTTCTCTAAAAAGGAATTATATTTGTAGATATTTTACAACCGTACTATTCAAAGGCCATTGTTAGTAGGTAACTTAATTTGCGCCTGCTGTTATGTGCCATCAAGTCAACTACAACTCATAGCAACCCTATGAACAATTGCTCTGAACCTACTCTATCTTGAGCCAATCTCACTGTCTTGACACACCTGCTCCCATTGCCCCAGGCACTGACTGTGTCATTTCATCCCATCCAGGGTCATCCTCTTCTGTGCTGAACCTCCACCCTTCCAAGCATGAGGTCCTCCTGGCAACATGCCCAAGTACATAAGATGGAGCGTCACAATCTTTGTCTCCAAGGAGCAACCTAGTTTCACCCTCTCCAGGACAGACCTGTTTTTTCTCTTGGCAATCCAATACTTTTCTCCAGCACAACTCAAAGGTATGGATTCTGCTTCTGTCATCATAATAGCTCTGTCCTATCCTGAGCTGGTCTCACTGACTCTGACACACCTACCCACATATCCCCAGTTATGGTGTCAATCCATCTCATCCAGTCTTCCTCTCCTGTGCTATCCCTCCCTCCACCCTTCCAAGCAGGATGTCCTGCTCCAAAGGCTGGTCCCTCTTGGCAACATGCCCCAAAGTATGTGAGAAGGAGCTTCAAAATCCTTGCCTCCAAGGAGAAACCTGGTTTTACTCTCTCCTTGACAGACCCGTTTGTTCTCTTACTAGTTCATGGTATGTTCAATACTCTTCAACACCAAAACTCAAAGGCCATGATTCTGCTATCATTTTCACTTCCAGCTCTCTAAAGTATAGCAAGTAAGTGCAAAGACCAGGGCCTGGATCAAGTGTACCTAAGGCTCTAAACTGGCATAACTCTTTAGCACTCTGGAGAGGTCCCTGACAGCAGACTTCCCTAATGCATAGCAAATAATTTACAATTATTAGTACTTTATTCTGTGCATCAATAATGCTTTAACCCCTGACTCCTGTTTAAACTTCTTATGAGCACTTTAAATACCTCTAGTAACCTACTCGTAAGGAGCTGCACTGTCAACTTAAAGGCACAAGATTAAAATCCACCAGCTGCTCTGCAAAAGAAAGATGGGTAGTCTGTTTCCATGCGATGTACTGCCTCTGAAAACCCACTGGAGGGTCTACTATGAGTCTGTTCTAACTTGATGGTACATAACAATAACATGAACACATAATATGTTGTTAGGTGCCACTGAGCTGATTCTGACTCAGAGTGATTCTGTGTACAAAAGAAAACACTGCCTGATCTTGTGCCATCCTCACAATCACGGTTGTGCTTTTAGTCTATGCATTGTGTCAGATAATATACTGCTTCTGATTTAGCAAAGTTCTGCACTCAGTAGTAGGTCAGTAACTGATGAACAACAGTATGGTTGTTGTTATATGACATCAAGTGACCCCATGAACTACAGATCTAAATCCTGCCCTATCCTGTACCATCCTCATCATCTGATATAATCAAGCTCATTGCTATGGTCACCATGTTGAGGGTCTTTTTCTCCTACATGACCCTCTACCTTTGTTGATATTCCTCTCCAAGAACTGGCCCCCCAACAACATGCCCAAAATATGATGTGAAGTTTCATCATCCTTGCCTCCAATGAGCACCTTGGCACCCTAGCTGTACTTTCTCCAAGACAAAGAGTTCTTTCGGAAGTCCAGGGGATATTCAGTACTCTTCTCCAACACCACACTCAAAGGCATCAAGCCTTCTGTCATCCTTATTCATTGTCCAACTTTCAGATGCATAGGAAGTAACTGAAAGGATGGCTTGGATCAGGCACACCTTAGTCGTTAAACTGACATCTTTACTCTTCAGCACTTTGGAGATGTCCTTGATAGCAGATTTTACAAAAGTCACATGTCTTCTGATTTTTTAACTTCTGGTACCAAGCTGGAGGAACTGCTGACCATTTCAATCTTTTCTCCATCTATCATGATATTGCCTATTGGCCCTGTGGTGAGGCTTTTTGTCTTTCTTGATGTTGAGATGTAATCCATATTTAACTTTCTGACCTCCTGCAGCAAATGTTTTAAATTCTCCTCCCTTTCAGCAAAAAAGGTAATATCATTTGTATAACACCAGTTGTAGATGACTCTTTCTCCAATCTGATGCTATGTTCTTCATCAAAAAGTCCAGCTTTTATGGTAAGTGAATTAACTCAGTCCCATAAGGACAAATACTGTATAAGACCATTATTGTAGAAATAGAAAGATAACTAGTAAAACAGGTATGAGGATCCAAGGCAGGGAGGGCAGGGGCAGAGAGATGAGGATAGGCAGGGAGATAATCATAGGGTCACATAGATTGACTGGTAGAGGAGGAGGTGGGTAAAGGAAATAGGAAAGGCCTGGTGTGGAAAACAATGTATAAGAACTTTATAAGCAAACCAGTATAAGTAAGTTGTTTTCTTTTTTTTTTTTAAAAAAGAGACTGTGAAGCGAGCTCTGGTGGCCTACTGGCAGGAAACTGCACTGCAATCCCAGAGGTGCGCTGTTCAAATCCACCAGATGCTCTGCTGAAGGAGGAACAATCGCCTCCTGTACCAGTCAGATCCAATTTGACGGTACACACACACACACACATAAATAAATAAAAATTTAAAAAAAAAAGACTGTGAGAATGGTACAGGAGAGGAAGGATTCAGATCTGCTGTTTAAAGGGTTGCTTTCAGTTGTGCTCTACTTGACTGCACCTAACAACAACAACAATTTTGCATATTTAGAAATCTGACCTCTCCAAAGTACTGAAGAGCAATGGTGTCTCTCTGGAGACTAAGGTGCGTCTGATACAGGCCATGGTCTTTGCAATCACTTGTTATGCATCAGAGAGTTGGACAATGACCAAGGAGGACAGAAGGAGAATTGATGCCTTTGAGCTGTGGCGCTGGAGAAGGTTATTGAGAGTACCATGGACTGCTAAGAAAACAAACAGATTCATCCTGGAAAGGGTTAAACTGGGTGGCTCTTTGGAGGCAAG